CGTGTGAACGTCTGCGATATGCTGCTTCAACGGCACCAAAAAGAACCGTTCTTGAAGAGGATCATAACAGGCGATGAAATTTGGATCCTATATAATTATGTTAGCCGCAAGAGGTCGTGGGGAACCAGCGACGCGTCTACGCAAACAGTGGCCAAGCCGGACTTCACGCGAAAAAGGTTCTTCTGAGTATCTGGTGGGATTTTGAGGACGTGGTATATTATGAGCTTCTTCAACCAAACGAAACCATCAACGCGGCGAAGTACAGCCTTCAACTGGACGAACTGAAGACTGCCATCGCACAGAAGCACCCTGAATTAGCCAACAGGCGTGGAATTGTTTTCCATCATGATAACGCCAGACCTCACGTCGCAATGTCTATCCGTAGGAAGCTGTTAGACTTCGAATGGGACGTTCTTCCTCATCCTCCATATTCTCCCGACCTTGCTCTATCTGACTACTATCTATTTCTTTCTTTAAAAAATTTTCTTCGGGACAAGAAATTCGAATCTTTGAAGTCCTCAAAAGTCATCTTGATAAATTCTTCGCCAATAAGAAACCTTTATTTTGGAGCAAAGGCATCATGCAGCTTCCTGAAAGATGGGCCAAGGTCGTTGAACAAAACGGTATATATTTGCTTCAATAAAGTTCCTCTTTGTGTAAAATATTGCGCTCTTAATTTATTTCAAAAATTTGAAATGAACTTTCCGAACAAACTAATACATAGATTCCGAATATCCTATCTACCCAGTACCGCCTCTTTATTTGACTCATAAATGAAGGTCATGGGATCATAACATGTAACCACATATCGCAATGTAAAATTTCTCGCTTTTTCCGAATCCGGGGTAAAAAATAGGAGTTCCTATTTAAAAAACGCAAGTTGACCTTCAAATGCCCTTCAAGGTTGAAGTCAAGGTCAAATTTGAAGTCACAAAAAAGCAGGACTTTATGAACCATAACTTTTGTTCGGGCAATTTTTCCCTATAATGCATATATTCTGAGATGGGGGGAAGTCTTACTTTTTTTACCGTTACTTTTGGAAAACCCTGTATACAGGGTGTCCCATTTTAAGTGTCCACTCCAAATATCTCTCTTATTTTTTATTTTAGAGAAAAATGGTTCAGACACGTTTTGTATGGTTTCGAGGGGGCCATAGGATGGTACCATTGACCTTGAAGAGTCATTTGAAGATCACGTGAAGGTTACCTCAATTTTTTTAGATGGCACCCCCTATTTTTTATTACATATTCTTGTAGCTGATCTCGAGAGCTTCCCAAAATGCTATAATCAAATGCTTTTTGGTGAAGTACTTTTCGAGTTATAAAGCTCCAAATTTACAAAATTTTGATAAAAATACAAAATATTTCGTAAAACATTCACTTTCCGATAGTCTTATCTTACATGATCCAACCAGTCAAGGCAAGATCCGAGCATGATTCAAACAGTCAAGGCAAGATCCGAACATGATCCAACCAGTCAAGGCAAAATCGGAGCATGATCCAGCCAGTCAAGACGAGATCTTGTATTGCTTGATAATTAATGAACTATAACAACTGTGAAAGTGCAATTGTCAATTCTTTTAATGAAACAAATATCAAGAGGATTGTTTCAAATTTCTTACTTGGGCAACTGTCGGTATTTTGGCGAAGTCTCAGACAGACGCATATTATTATCCATTGACATTTTTTTGATAAGACAGGAATTTTTGACTTTTTGGCGCTTTTTTCTTTATAATTATGGCTGCTTATCCACTAAATGAAATTGTGGACATGATTCGCATTTTGGCTGAGGCCAGGAATAATTATTCGGCAGCAGAATGGCTTTATGCTGAAAGATTTCCAGACAGACGCCATCCTGATAGGAAAGTAATAAAAAGACTCTGCGACAGAGCTGTACAGGGTTTTCTTAGAAGAAATCGGCAAAAATCGGGCCCTGATGAAGTCACATCATTGACTGTTGTAAGTGCCGTTACTCTGAATCCTCAAATCTCTACGAGACAAATTGAGAGGCAATACGGTATATCTAAATCAACAGCCAATCGTGTGTTCAAGCTGAACAAGTTTCACCCATATCACATTCACCTAACTCAGCAATTGGAAGAGAGGGACTACCAACGCCGTATACGTTTTAGTAACTGGGCTCGAGATCAAATCCAACAAAATCCCCAGTTGATTGCTGATACGCTTTTTTCTGATGAAACCACGTTTTGTAATAGAGGAGGCGTTAATAGACATAACTGTCATTATTATTCAGATGCTAATCCACATTTGCAGAGAAGCCAAGAGTTCCAACGGCAGTGGCCCATTAATGTTTGGGCAGGCATCCTGGGAGATGTTATTATTGGTCCATATTTTTTTGAAGAAAATCTCAATGCGGCAATCTATCTAAGATTTCTTCAAGATGACCTGCCCAACCTCTTGAGACATGTCGACAATGATTTACTCAGACGAATGTGGTTCCAACAAGATGGAGCACCGGCTCATAGATCTCGAGCTGTTACACAATATTTAAACAATAGATTCCCAAATAGGTGGATTGGTTTGGGCAGCCGAGTTCAAGAATGGCCCCCAAGATCACCCGACTTGACACCCCTAGATTTTTATTTCTGGGGCTACATGAGAGATATAGCTTATTCGCAAAAGCCTACAACCGTTGAAAATATGAAAAACCGGATCAAACAGGCTTGCAGAGATATTAATGTAGGTGTTCTTAGGGACGACTTTCACCATAGACTAGAGCTATGCATCCAAGTAAATGGCCAAATTTTTGAACACTATAAGTAATTGTACACAAAAGAAGATGTTGCCTTGAGTGATTGGATCATACTCGGATCTTGCCTTGACTGGCTGGATCATGCTCGGATCTTACCTTGACTGGCCGGATCATGCTCGGATCTTGCCTTGACTGGCTGGATCATGCTCGGATCTTGCTTTGACTGGTTGGATCATGCTCGGATCTTACCTTGACTGGTTGGATCATGTAAGATAAGACTATCGGAAAGTGAATGTTTTACGAAATATTTTGTATTTTTATCAAAATTTTGTAAGTTTGGAGCTTTATAACTCGAAAAGTACTTCACCAAAAAACATATGATTATAGTTGAAAAGCCCTCGAGGTCAGCTACAAGAATATGTAATAAAAAATAGGAGGTGCCATCTAAAAAAATTTTGATAATCTTCACGTGACCTTCAAATGACTTTCCAAGGTCAAACCAATAGTATCATCTTATGCCCCCCTCGAAGCCATACAAAACGTGTCTGAACCATTTCTCTCTAAAATAAAAAATAAGAGAGATATTTGGGGTGGACACTTAAGATGGGACACCCTGTATATAAGGACGAGTCAATTAAAATGTTACAGACTTATATCTTGGAAATGAATAATTTTAGGGAAAAATGTTTCAGACAAAAGTTGTATGGTGTCAAATGGGACATAAGAAGGTATCATTAATTAGACCTTAATTAGCCATTTGAAGGTTACGTGAAGGTCATCAACAATTTTTCAAATGGAACGCCCTACTTTTTTTGGCATATTCTTATAACGTATTTCAAGAGCTTTCCAAAACACTACAACAAAGTACTTTTTTTTTGTTAAGTACATCCCGAGTTATGAAGCTTCAAAGTTACAATACCGTCGGCATTAGCATTACCCAAGGTGTACCGCGTGGAGGTTGCACGATCGGATTTACACCTCTTGTGTATGTGTGTGTGTGTGTGTGTGTGTGTGTGCGCGTGCGTGCGTGCGTGCGTGAGTGCGTGCGTGCGTGCGCGTTTGTGTGTGTGTGTGTGCGCGCGTGTGTGTGTGGCATGCGTGCGTGCGTACGTGATCTACACACACACACACACACATACACGTAACTTTGAAGCTTCATAACTCAGGATGTACTTAACGAAAAAATACTTTGTTATAGTGTTTTGGAAAGCCCTTTAAATACATTATAAGAATGTGCTAAAAAAAGTAGGATGTTTTATTTGAAAAGTTCAAGGTGACTTTGTCCTGACCTTGTTGGCGCTAGCCAAGGTCAAACTGATAAGATCAGTAAATAGATCATCTTAAACCTTACAACTTTTGCCTGAAACATTTTTTCCAAAAACTGATTGTTTTCGAGATATTTTATCGTTCGAAGACTTTTTGAGAACCCTGTATATATATGTTATAGTAAATATAATAAATTGGTAATTATGCATAATTACTAAACACGCTTGGTTAGGTTAGGGCTAGGTTTGGTTGCAACTGCGTGCTGTTACGTGCCGCAATGTATATAGTTGTATTATCTTATGTGAATCTTATGTGAATCTTATGTGAATCTTATGTGAATCATCGCAACAGCGACCACGACGTATATTCCTCCATACCTGCCTTATTTAATCCTGATGACCGATCTTATCCTAAAATAACAAACTAATAGATGTCATATCCCCGAATTCCTGCCGAATCTCTCATCATCAGCCATGACTACCCTCGCGGAAATTTTATCTTTTCCCTTCCCTTCCTTACCGTCATTTTTCCTATGCAGATCAGTTCCCTGCTAGCAATCCTCAAGCGAACACCTAGTCCCTCTCTCTTTCGAGCGGTATTACACTCTTGTTGAGAATTATAAAATAAAGTCAGTTAACAGTCGGAGACATAAAAGCTGATTTCTCGTTCCTTCCCAATATTCGCATCATAAGCTGTGGCAAACGTAACAGTGCACGCAGTTGTAAGATTAAGCTAGGTTAAGTTAGGTTAAGTTAGGTTAGGTTAGGTTTGGTTAGATATTTAACATTCTTCCTTTTTAACTATTAATTAGATGTGTAAAATTGTTACATTGCATTTACACGTGGAGTTTCCTTTTCACTTTAGCCTTGAATCTCATCGCCATAAGCATATCAGGAATCCAAGTAAGTCGAAGCGAGAGGAAAGAATTTTTGTTTTTATATATTTCAACCTCACCTTTGCAGTTCGTGAGCAAGTTGTCGCAATGGGCTGGTATGACGATGACCATTTTTTACATAATGGGCCAACTAATACATTTGTTTTTTCTTTGCCTAATGGCGCAATTTATACTAGACCAGAGCTTGAATGTCCACGAATCGGCGTAAGTTACTAAGCGTTGTTGATAATCAGGTATATTGTGTATATCGAACGTATTGAAAATCGGAAACTTTATAGGTATTCCTGCTATTGGTACGATATGCCTGTTGATATCCGTACAGATATAATACTGATTTTACTGAGGAGTCGTGTACCATGCAAAATAATGGCTGGAAAATTATTCGTTATGTCGCTGGAAAACTTCTGCTCAGTATGTGAATATAGAAAGAAATTTGTTCCCTCAATGTTGTTATTCAATTACTATATTATGCATTCGTCTATTTTATTTAGATTCTACAAACGTCAATGTCATATTTTACTGTATTAGCTTCATTTCGATAAAATTTGCTGATATACTTCTGCTTGGTACGTGAAAGAAGAAAATCTTACTTGGAAGAAAATCTATCCTCTCAATATTATTCAGTTACTACATTACGCTTTCATTCGTTGTTTTATTTAGATTCTACAGGCGTCAATGTCATCACATTTTATTGCGTAATTACTTTCAAATTTCCAAAAATCAGTAAATTGACAAAAGTCAACGCACCATTGTAACCATATATTCTTGAGACTAAATAAAGCAAGAAAGTTTAGTACCACTTTTCTTCCGACAAATAGTTAGCAAGATATCGTAAGTTAAATATTGAAAAAGTTATCAGGTTTCCCTCAAATATCTATAAATATAAATAAAATAAAATATAAATATAAATAAAAAAATATTAGACAAATGAAAAAATGTTTTAGACAAAAGTGGTTCAAATTAACTAGTAGAAAAAACAGTAATAAAAAATAAGGATTGCCGTTTAAAAAGCGCAAGTTGACCCTCAATGACCTTGAAAATAGAGGTCAAGGTCAAAGTCAGTGTCATCATAAGGTAGCTCACTTAAATCCCTACAACTTTTATTCAGATATATTTCTTTGAAACTTCAATACTGAAGAGTTATTTGGGGTGGGACATTAAAATGGGACACCCTGTATACAGTATGAGGAAAAAAGATGGAAAACTGTAAAAATCTCGAAAGATATAAATTTTACAGAAAAGCGTTTCAGACAAAAGTTATAAGACTTAAAACGATGTATCTATTGATCTTATCAGGTTGACTTTGAATGGCGTTGCCAAGGTCATGTTAAGGTCAATTTATTTTTTTTTAACAGAAATCCCATTTGTATTATATCATTTCTTTCTACCAATTAATTTGAACAACTTTTGTCTGAAACATTTTTTTATTTACCTGATATGTTTTGAAACACTTCAGGAAAACTTGATAACTTTTTCAGTACTTAACTTACGATATCTCGCTAACTATTTGTCAGAAGAAAAAATGGCACTAAATTTTTTTATTCTGTTTAGTTTTAGGAACATATTGTTACAATAGTTCCCTAACTTTTGTTAACTTATAGACTTTTGAAAATTTCAAAATCATCAAATTAACAAAAGTCAAGGTGCTATTGTAACATATATTACGTATATTTTTGAGATCGAGTAGAATAAAAAGTCTAATAGCATTTTTTCTTCCGACAAATAGTTGGCGACATATCGTATGTTAATATTGAAAAAGTTTCCGAGTTTTTCTTAAATATCTTAAAAAATATTAGGCAAATAAAAGAAATGTTTCAGACAAAAGTTATCAAAAATAATTGATAAAAAAGGATGATATAATAAAAAATGGGAGTTTCTATTAAAAAAAATAAGTTGACCTTGACCTGATCTTAGCAACACCACTCAAGATCAAACTGATAAGATCAGTAAATACATCGTTTTGAGCTTTATAACTTTGGTCTGAAACACTTTTCTGTAAAACTTATATCTTTCGAGATTTATAAGGGTTTCCATCTTTTTCCCTCACCTTGTATACACACATGTTTACACATTATTATATATCACTGATACTAAAACATATGACGAAAATGGAGGGATAAGCTTTGCATAACTGGTTTGATTATATGTAGAATCGGGGTGCAGTGAATGCGCCGCACTCGGGCGGCCAAAGGCCGTCAGTAATGTATTACTAGTATAAAAAGAGATTTATAAGTCGAATGACGGAGATATTTGGAAAGTCTTGGAAACTCTGGTCACTCTATTAAAAAGCTCGTCCAGAATTCTGTGACTGTTTGTAGGAAAATGTCATGAAAAATTTTGCATTAGGGCGGCGATAAATAGTTGCAAACCCGGACGCAAGCAGCCCTTAGTACGGCTCTAAAGAAGACTTAAGAACGTTATCTCCTTTGGCTGTTTTCCTATTAGATATCGGATCGTCGTACATCGGATATCGAATGCAATGTGAATTTTCCATAAAATCATTTTTACGTTTGATTTAAGCTCCAAGGAGCTTGAAAATGAATTTATTGCCACACTATTTTTATGTGATAGAAGAAGTATAAGTTTGTTTATTTATAATTATTGTATTACAAAGAATGTATTGCAAAGATTTATATTCAGTTAGTAACTTGATATTATTTATAACAAATGTATATATAAGGTGCCCCATTTTAATGTACTACCCCCAAAAACTTTTATTTTTGATTGTAGAAAAAAACACTTCAGACAAAAGTTGTTTGGTTTGAAGGGGGACACATGATCACGCGCGGACAAGTCGCAGGTGTCATCGTTTCCAAGACAATTTGAAGGTGACTAATTTCTTAAATGGAACTTGAATTTTTTCAGATTTTTTCAGATAAAAGTTGCAGATCTCGTCGAGACATTTAAAAACACTACCCATAATTGTCTTTTGCATAAGCCGTTCCAAAGATATGAAACTTCAAAGTTTACAAAGCCCATACTGACTCCACCTGTATTCTTCGTGCAAAAAGATTTAATGGTTGTGCTAAATTCTTACTACTCTAAATTTTTATCCACTACCCTATTTTTACCGCTACCCAGGAACAACGACATAGAGGTAGGAGGTTTCTGTTACCTTCGGACTGCTTGATTTACGTGATTGATTTATCCTTGCCTCTCATGTCTACGCAATTTCTTATCGCAAACGTTCAAATATACCTCCAATTTGATCGATACATTGTGTCACGCATAATTGAAAATTATTTTCGACTCTTTGCAATGTACCGTCAGTGATATCTCGGAAAGCGCGTTCAATTCATAATTTCATGTCTGTGAGTTATAGTTTGTGTTGCGTACACTTTTTCTTTAACATAACACTTTGACTGCTCACAGGAAAAAGTCCATAGGCATGAGATCGGAAGATCTTGGTAGCTACTTTTGGATTTGACTACCTATTCCAATCCACCTTCTATGGAATTTTTCGTTGAGGTATGAGACGGTCAAGAGACTTCTGTGGGCAGGAGCACCATCTTGCTGCCACTATATCCTACGACGTATGTGGAGATTTACATCTTCGAGGAGGTTTGGCAACTCGTTTTGCAGGAATTGTAAGTTTCCCTATTTAAATGACCATGGAAATAGTGAAGTCCAATTACATGCGTTCCGATAATGCCACCTTGTTTGGAACGTGATCGAACATATAACAGCTCCGGAGAGCTGGTTAGTGAATTTCGGATCGCAGAGCAATGTCCGCCTGCGACTATGTCGCTCGAGCAATTGGACGACCAACCGATCGTCCCGGCCAACGTCTGAGTTATGTCGTAAGGCTGGCCAGAACCTTGAAGGAGCGCGCAAGTTCAAGCACGCGCAACAACCTACGTTCCCACAAGGGATGGCGGCGAGAGTAAGAGAGAGGAAAGGTCACGTGACGACGCAAAGAGGAAAGCAGTGGAGAACGCAACGGACGCGACAGAAATGCAATAGAAACGCAAGTGGAATAATGCAGAAGGAGCGCAGTAGTGACGCATCTATTTATAAGGCGATGTCGCTCACCAAAGCAAAGTCCCGAAGGACACACGCGTCAGTGACGCCAACGGGGAGCGGCATCCGGAGCAACATCAAAGTACGCTGAGACGAAACGACTTCCGTCTTTTCGGAAGGCCTGCCCTTCCGGATGCAACGACCTACAGCAAGTAGGCCCGAGGACGCGTGGGCAAGGAGTCCTGCTGAGCTCTAGCAAGCGGGAGGCGACCAAGTCGCCCCCGAGAGAAGGTCAGGATCCCATACGGACGCTTGGAGGAGCTCGCAGCTCCTAGGAGGCGGCCTCGTCGCTCCTAAGACGCCCAAAAGCTGCGGGAGCTTGGGGAATAAGGAAGCTCGAAAGCTCCGAGGAGGCGGCTGAGCTTGCTCCTGAATTACGGCAACGCCATGAGCACGGCACAGAAGACGAGATTCGAACCATTAGCCTCAACTCAGCAGGGTGTATCGGTGCCGCCCTCAACTCAGCAGAGTGTGTAGAGCGGTAAGTTCGAATCCGAAATGTGAGAGCACGACCGCTCTAGGAAAGCCTAGACGCATCGGTAACCAGCAGTACGACAAGTTCGCACTAAGAAGTAGCACAGATTTGCCACTGAGAACGGTCCAGCAAATGATATGGCAAAAGACAAAGCGAAGCAAACCACGGCGCGCCCGATTATATAGCTGGGCGGCTGAATCTTGTATGCGGGCAGTGGAATCGCGGGCTGCGCCGCATAGCAGCCGCGGTCGGAACTACCAATCAAGCGCGGGGCGCCGGCGGGAGTCCTGCGCGCTCGCTCGCAAGAAACCGGCGTCCTTCGCCGCTTGCGAGAACGCTCCGGAAGCTAGGCCACCCGCCCCGCAGCGCCGATCCGTTAGCCGACTTTCCGCACGGCAGCCCGAGCCGTACGGAATACACCCCAAACATTAATTGACCACTGATGGGCTGCGTTCGCAAATCTCACCCTACGGATAGAGCCGAGTGAATGGTGGTGGGGGCAGGGTACACCATATATGCGAATGGTTTCCGAACGGCACTGAAACGTATATAATTAAGATTTGGTGGGAAAAAAGTGAAGAGAGCTAGTTTAAATTAGTGCCGGCAGTTCAGCAATAGAAAAATGGCGAATAAAAATATTATTTCATGTGTTATGGCTGTTGGACTAGAATTAATAAAAATTGCTTTGGATACCTTATATCCAGACAGTAGCGATGATGAAGCAGATATGGTGATTGAAAAAGCAAACATTATTGAAATTTGGATTAGAGTTAGCAATCGAAGTTGCTATAAGAGAACAATGCTATGTCAATGAAATTATACCAAGATTTAGTAATGAAGTGTTCCGTCAACATTTTCGTATGACCAGAACATATGAAAATCTCGAACGACGGTTAGCTCCGACGTTGACGCGAATAGAAATGAAAGGAAGACCAACAATATCAGTTAGAACTCAGCTCTTATCAGTCATTTGGCTTCTGGCAACCCCAGATTCTTTTCGGTAAGTAACAATTTCTGTGAATATATATATTAGATTATCTTATTAATAACATGTCTACT